AGATACTAATAACTTCATGATCAATTGTGGTCATTGTCCTTCACATTGACCACCGACCACTGTCCACCATCATCATGGCAGGGATGGTGTCATTGGTGTCAAAGTAAAAGAAAGCAATGAAATAGGAGTTATTGTCTTTTCACCAAATGTGTTTGTCTTTTTGATGTTAAAACATCGTAATGTGGGAGAACTGTCAAATGCACGACCAATTTGTACCAATGACTTTGTTTCTTGTGTACCATTTAAAGCACCCAACAGCAATAAATAATTCTGAATATAGGTAATCAATGCATTGTCGTGATCACAACCCCTCCCCTTCCCTACTCCAAATGTTGATTGAAACTTCATCAACAGTATAATTGTAATGTATATCATTTTGAGACTAATTTCTGTTGATTCCTTAAATTGAAAGGTCGACTTTCCAATAAACTAATCAATTCATTTTCTAATCAAACAATTTTTTAAATCAGTGTGCCGAGGGAAGTTTTGTCCAGACAGCGGCGTTATGGCCTACTCTTATATCGAATTCCAACTTCCAATGTGGACATGGGGTCTCACTTTTTGTCCCATCCAAACGACTATACATTGTCACCTTGCCGGGTTAAATCAAATAAGTATATATATACATTTATTGCCATGACTCTGCTATGTATAATTACATGTGAGCCTATATTGGGTCTCATATTTTGCCCCATCCGAACGACTATACCTTGTCCCTTGGCAGGTTAAATCAAACAAGTATATATATATATATTTATTGCCATGACTCTGCTACGTATAATTTCAGGTGAGCCTAGGGTTCCCTTTTTTTGCCCCATCCAAACAACTATGCATTGTCCCTTGCCAGGTTAAATCAAACAAGTTTATATATAAATTCAAAATTCATTGCCATGACTCTGCTACGTATAATTACATGTGAGCCTATATTGGGCCTCATATTTTGCCCCATCTGAACGACTATCCATTGTCCCTTGCCAGGTTAAATCAAACAAGTTTATATATAAATTCATTGCCATGACTCTGCTACATATAATTACATGTGAGCCTATATTGGATCTCATATTTTGCCCCATCCGAACAACTATACGTTGTCCCTTGCCAGGTTAAATCAAATAAGTTTATATATAAATTCATTGCCATGACTCTGCTACCTATAATTACATGCGAGCCTACATGGGTTCCCTTTTTTTGCCCCATCCAAACAACTATATGTTGTCCCTTGCCAGGTTAAATCAAACAAGTATATATATATATATATATATATATATATATATATTTATTGCCATGACTCTGCTACGTATAATTACATGTGAGCCTACTTGGGTTCCCTTTTTTGCCCCATCCGAACGACTATACCTTGTCCCTTGCCAGGTTAAATCAAACAATATATTTATTGCCATGACCCTGCTACGTATAATTACATGCAAGCCTACATGGTACATCATTTGTGTGTTTTGTAGTATTGTATCAGCTTTCATGGCTTATATTTATACAAGAATGCATTTATGCAAACAACCAGAATGTAACAAGATTAAAACAGAAAACACATTCCATAGGTAACTGCGTACAAACCAAGAAATAAAAAGACAAGAACATGTACTCTGGGGTATTTAAGAATCCATTAAACAAATAACTGTCATAAAGTACAAGAAGGGAGCACATCAAATTTATGCATTTATAAAAGAAAAAGACATAATCTTCTTGTGCATGTAATTAAAACAGGTTCTTCTCTTAATAAATTCTCCTGGTACAGTCCAATGGAGTTTTTTTTTTATGGAGAGTTATAACAGTTTTATGGGGAGATAAAAAATTAATGTATCTTTAATACAAAGCGACAATTGAGTAAGACTGATGCCATATTCTTATTATAAACAAATTCTACGTCAAGGATGGGCAAAGTGAGTGAAGGAATTTATTTGATAAGAGATTGTTTTTAAGAAAACTGTTTCTGAATATTTTGTGCTATTTTCTCCAATAAAGTCATTGGCGGATTCTGGTAGGAGCCCTTCCAGGGTCCTGAGACCCCTTAAATAATAATGTAAAAGATTTAACTTATTATTCTGTTTCTATGAAATTTGAATGTCCTACTCCTATATCGAATTCCATTTGTCGAGGGATCTTTTACGTGCGCACCAATGTGTACACAGGACCTCAGTTTTTCATCCCATTCAAACGACTATATGTTGTCCCTTCCCAGGCCCTCCATCCTGAACCGCTGACAGAGGGGAACCACGCAAGAAAATCCTGATAAACGCAGGGATAAACACGGAACCTCCAGGTTAGCGAGTCAACGTCTTACTCACTGAACCACTTTACCTCCCTCTTGTTGGTAAGCGTGATCTAGCTGATGTGCATCATAAATCACCATAAATATTTTTCAAAAGATTTCTGAGGAGTACCCCTCCACCCCCTCTAACCAAATAACCTGCCTACGCCACTGAATAAAGTTGTGATGTAAATAAGTTTGTTTTTTTGTTTATGATAAATGATAAATAAATATGATGTGCGTAGTAGTTCTCTCTGATATAAATTACACAATCACATTCCAAGCATTCTCGAGATAAATTTATCATGTTTATAAGTATTAATGTCTAAAATGTAAATAATCTATTAAATTGATGAGAAGGAATTTAACAGAAAAGTAGATCCTCATTATAGGTGTACCTGGCTCTTCTGTGAGATCCTCATAACAGGTGTACCTGGTCCTTCTGTGAGATTCCAGGTGTACCTGGCCCTTCTGTGAGATCCTTATTATAGGTGTACCTGGCCCTTCTGTGAGATCCTCATTATAGGTGTACCTGGCTCTTCTGTGCGATTCTCATAACAGGTGTACCAGGCCCTTTTGTGAGAATCTTATTACAGGTGTTCCTAGCTCTTCTGTGATTACCGGTGTATCTGGCCCTTCTGTGATTGGGAATTGAATGCGGTTTAAAGTGTCGTCGATTCAATACCTAGTTGTTTTTTTTTATTTTTATGGTTGTGTGGCCAAAGCGAAGTAGAAGAATTTTACCAGGACAGCAGCACTTGTGCCTAATCTTCTTCGATTTCCAACAGTCAAAGGATCTTTGACGTGCACTCCAATGTGTGGACCTTGCTTTTCTGTCCCATCCTATTGACTAGACACACTTTCCTAGTCATCCAACCAAGCAGGCGCAACCCATCATAATTCCATTAATTGCGATTTCTGTAAAAACTTTATGAATAATAATTGCCCAATTACTGTCCAGATCACATAAAAGAGAACTTGACATTAAGATTTTGATGAATCAACAATGAAGTTGCTGATTGGGTAGATTTCTCTCCTCCATAACACTGAACAAGTGTTTTGAAAATAAAATGCATTTTGGTCGGAAAAATTAGGGCATGGTTTAGAAACTTTAAGTAAAATGTACATAATATGTCATCTAGTTTGACAGATCAAAGGATCTTTTTTTAGAACTTTTATTTTTAAATCAACACCTTTCAGGTTTAAAACAGGTGTTTGGTATGACAGTATATTTGTACTTAAATGGGATGTACCTTTTACACATAAAATTTGTAGGAAGCAGAAAGTGTAAATTGTGCAGAGATTTTGAGAACAGAATACCAGACCATGAGTTCAAAAAGCATTCTCAGACTTAAGTTAAGAATTTACTCAACTTTCAATCACTGTTTATGAGAAATAACTTTGATCCAGAAACATAAAACTTTACACATAGTTTCTTACTGATGTATTTGATACATTAAAACAAAAGTTTTATAAAGGGCGATATTTTAGTTAAAATAAGGCTAACAATATTTTATACAAATTCCAGATGTATACATGTAGATATAGAGTCTGACAAAAGGACCCTTTTAATACAAATTCAAGATGTATACAGTCTGATAACAGGACCCTTTTAATGTGAATTTAAGATGTTTAAAGTCTGACAACAGGACTCTTTTAAATACAAATTCAAGTTTTTGAAAGTCTGACAACAGGACCCTTCAATACAAATTCAAGTTTGACAAAAGGACCCTTTTAATACAAATTCAGGTTGTTTTTAAAAGTCTGACAACAGGACTCTTTTAATACATGATAAGCGTGGACTTTTGTGAACATGTGCCTTTTTGAGTAAACAACATTAATAATGTAGTAGTTTTGAACCAGAACATGTAAATATATAAACGACAAATAAAAATATTACCTATTAATATTTCCATTTGATAAATCCAATGTTTACAAATGACCAATAAACATTAACAACACACAGTGTTTAAACTTCAACTGTTATTCTCCACAACTTCTGCTTTGAACGTGTGTTTCACAGGCAAACTCTCATACATTATTGACAAATCGCTAGATTTTCTTTGTTCTTCTCTTTGCTTCAATGATTTGTTTGAAGATCAAAGAGTTTTCCAGCTGATTGATTAAGATCAAAGGGAAACCTGTTCCTATCAATTGAGTAACAACATTTGACAGGTACAGCTATTTGTTTGTGGTGGTTTTAGTCACCATGTATTTTTATCTATCTGTATCTGTCAATGGTGGGGTTTTGTACATTAAATTACTACACATAATGGTAAAGGACAATCAATTATAAATATTCAAACATCTGATAGATTTTTAGATTGTCTCTTATTGAACAGTGTAATAATCATCCATTTAATAGTCTATTGTTTCCCGAAAACTCTTGACATTTCTGATGACGAAAAGTCAAATAAACATAACGACATGTCCTGTGTATTGACTCGAACTTGTTTTCTGCCCTTTGATGAGCAGAAATCTTTTAATTATGTGAAAGCATGGGGTTTTTTTTTTTACCTTTTAAACCAAATTTTTATCGCAATTTACCTATTAGCCTTCAAATCAATTCTTTAATAAAAACACCTCAAGAGATGCTAATGGATTTTTACTCTCAGAAACAATTTAATTTACATTATCTAGATTATAAAACTTTGCTTCTCAATTTATTTTCTGGTTTTTTTTTTAAATACTTAATTGCATTCTGGAATTCTTAAACATCAAAGAAATAACTTACCACGTAATGGGGATCCATCTTCTTTGTCAGCTACGCATATGGATAATTCCTGCAAAGAAAAAATAAAAAAAAAATAAGTAAAAATATTTATAACTCAATCTAATAAACATTCATTTAAATTCATGTGCAAAAAATACATAAAGTGCATTAAGATCCATTTCTATTATAGTTATACCAATTAGATATCAACCATCTCACAGCATGTGGGAAAATAAAATTAAAATCATAAATTATCTCCCTTTAACCCTAATCAAATTCCAGCATTACATGTAACATTCAGGTACAAGTTCATACTGCCAAGTTACCATATGATGTATTGAGCTCCAATTCAACTAAAACATATCTTGTGCTATAAATATGAACAATATTGTTTAAATGGAATATTTATCCCTGAATGACATTAAGGCATCAAAAGGAATTTAAAATATGTACTAGGGAGATTTACTATGTGAATTTAGCGATTCACAGATTCCGGTCCGTTTTACATTTTACACCTTCCCTATAAGGGGCCTTGCCATCCCCTAATCATTTCAATTCTTAATATAATGAAGTCTTAAGTGCATAAAAATTCCTTTTAATATGAAATAAAGTAGAGAAATGCTGGAGATTTGAACATCTTGACTAAATATACTCAATTTGCAGGCATCATTTGATTTAAACATCAAAGACAAGACCATTATACAGATCTGTATCATGATGAAGCGGTGCCAATAATCCATTACACCTTATATTCGAAGAATGTTAATTGCTAGATAAATAGTCAATAGACCTTTTTATGTTCAAGATCACACACCCAACATCAAAATCAAACAAATTTCCTCACACAAAAAGCAGATTTTACACATAAAAAAACAACCCTTAGTCTTAAAATTACGTTCTAAACCTTATTTTTAAAAAATGAAACAACCTGCTGTTAAAGGTAACAATCTTGATCAACCACTAAACGGGAGTTTCTAAATAATTGTCGTTAAAATGCAAACAATTTCCTCATACCAGGAGATCTTATACATTCATTTGTATTTTGTTTTTTATAAAATATCATTTTCTTTGAATTACTTTCTAAATACTTTAAAAAAAAAAAGAAACATCCTGCTATCAATGATAACAGACCTGTTCAACCACAGAACAGGAGTTTCTGAATAACTGCTGTTTGAAAAAAAAAAAAGTTGCAAAAGTTTTGCTAACAGATTCCGTAATTACTAATTCAACATGGAAAAGGAAACTTGTAACTAATTTAAATATTCCACTTGAAATAACAAAAATATACACAACGCAGTAGATCTAATTATAATTTACCTTTAATTGTATATATACATAAATTTAAATCTGTTACAGATATTCAGAATAATTGTTTCTGTGTGTTATTTTCACTATAATAAATGTATGTACAATGAATATTTTGAGATATTTTTACGAAAACAAATGATTGTTAAATCTAAATCTGTTATCATCGGTGAAGTGTCAAAAGGGTGTATCTCGGGGAAATTAGTAAAATACAAACACAATTTTTGCATTTTTCAAATCTCCCAATTAATATGCACAATTCTGTCTAAGCGGTGTATTACTACACAGAACTGTTCTGGGTATCATGTGTCCAAATGTTGTATCTTGATTTGTGGAAATTTTGAAATGCAAGAGCTTATATTTCTTAATCTTTAGAGATTCTTAGATGCGCTCTTTTGACACTTCACCTACGTTATGCTGCATTTAAAATAAATATTTAAAGATATTTTTACTAACAAGAAATGATTGATAAATTGAAACTACCGGTATAGTTTAATCTGACATGGCTAACAAGTTTGTAAAACAAGTATATAAGTTTTTACATATTATCTATGTGGTAGGTATGGTGATGGGTAGACCTATATAGACAGGTGTAATATATCATACAGAGACCTGTAACTTACACCTCTATAATAGGTAGGTGTATATATCTACACATCTAACTTGTTAGATCTCCTGACCACACACTTAACAACCTGACTTCAACAACCCTAAAACATGTCATTTAGTTGTCTTTTCTTTCATTATAGTGCATGTTCTTAAATATCAGAGATTAAGGATAAATAGCCTCTCATGATATGTGTGTAGTTTTGCGAGAATGGAAATGAAATGATATGGGTTTTAACGTCCTACTGTTCCGCTCTGACTGGGCTAATGAAGACTGGTATTAACCATACAGTATACTATGAAGGATATTTTGCCTGAACAATGGTGCTACGGTCTACTCTTATATCGAATTCCAACTGCCAAGGGATCTTTTACGTGCACTTCAATGTGTACACGAGACCTTAGTTTTTCATCTCATTCAAACAACTAGAAGCTGTCCTTCCCTCCGTCCTGCACCAGGAGGTCCTTGGTTTCAGTCCAGTAATGGGCGCGAAAGTTCCTCGGGAATTTTCAGTCTGGGTTCCCAGTGTCAGTGGTGCAGGATAGAAGGCCTGAGCAGTATCTTGTAAATCCAAATAAGAGTAGGCTGTTGAGCTGCTGCCTGGGTCATACATGAAGCAGGATATGATTACACTTTCTAGAACACCTGATATCACTTATCAGTTAAATTATTCACATAGTTAAATATTAGAACCACTGTAGTCTCGATTGTCATTGTTACCATTGTTATGATAACCCGGTTAATCATGAAGAATCATTGAATCGCAGATCAGATACAAATCTGTTTAAAATCAAACTCATTAGATGACATCGAGAGTTGATTAATGTCTTGTCATGTTAATAATGTCTAATTAATAGTTTATATAGGCAAATTTAGCTCTTGCATAATGTATGTTTAATTTAGCAGATCACAACAAAAAATAAACAAAAAATGTAACAAGTCTCCGTGAGCGGTAAAAAAAAAAATCTTATCTTTATTGTGGATGTTCTTTCAGTATTTTTATCAAATCATTTCCAGAACCTATCTAGATCACCGAATCACACCAATACGGCAATAAAATTATTTTAATTATGGCAAAGAGTAGTGATAATAAAAAAGTATGTGATAATGTGACCGAATTTGATGAGAACGATAAAATTGTCTGGAAAAGATAACATTTACCTTTAATTTCCGCCATCAGAAAATTTGTCAGAATGATGAAAAGGATGCAACCTTTTATGAATTTGAAAACCTTGAAATTCTTTTTCCTCTACTTTGTTTTAATTCAACGTTTTAAGTCGTAATTTCAAAGAAATTTCTCTTTTTCAAAATTAAAGTAAACAAACTTAAACTGAAAGTAAACCTTTTTTCTCAAAAGACAGATAAAAAGAAGCATCAAATGCCATAATTTCAAAGACATAAAAGAATAGGAAATCCGCTTTTTAAATAATTTATTTCAAATAAACTTCATTAGTACACGATGAACACAAACAAAAAATGCAAAAAGTTTTAAATCGCACAAAAATAAGGAAAAAACATGAAAAGGAAAAAAAAAAAAAAAAAAAAAATCATCAATTGAATGAAAACCAAAAAACTATTTTTCTTTTTCATAAGAAACCTAATAAAAGAGAATGTTTGAAGTGTAAAAAGGCAAGGAAACGAGATATTGTTGTGAAAATACGAAACAAAGGCTATATTTTTATTATGATAAATGATGGCCTCTAGTATCAATACCTTGCAGTGTTTGTAATTTCATACAGATCTTCAGAAAGATATTATCCTTTCAGATATTCCTATTACTACTTATTAATAATAACTTTTTTCTTGCTTATCTTAAAACTTCAAAGGATCAAACAAGTAGTTCTGCAAATTATCATTCTGGGTTCTTCATGCTAATTGTTTGCGTCTGCTTATACAGCCATTTTGAACTAATTTGAAAATTAAAGGTTTAGTTTTTGTAAATGATTCATTGATTACAATGCAAAGCTTTTTATTTTGACTCGGAACAAATTTCCGACAATTTTAATATTTAGATGCTAGAATGTATGTTTTCATAATTTCTTTTTGAGACTATAACTATTTTTGATTTTAAACAAATTTCAATTTATTTATTGTCCGTTCCAGTATTCAAATGTTGGGGAGAATTTTGCCCAGACAGTGACATTTTAGAGGAGAGAGAGAGAACGAGAGAGAGCAAGAGAGGGGTGTGTAAGTCCACTCGACACAAACTAGGTCATTTCGGGACTAACATATGGTTCGATTTTATTTCAATAATTCGCTTGTGCGTAGAGATCTTTTGCAGTGGGAGTAAACCAGAGGACCTGGAGAAAACCCCCAAGGTTGGACAGGCAACCCTACTCCTTGCCACGTACAACCGGGGAATCAAAACCACAGCAGTTGACTCAAGGACAGACCTTATGATACAGCGCGCACACGCTAACTATTGGGCATCCCCCCCACCCCTGTTTTCACAACACTGCACCAATGCCTATGAGGGTAACCTGTTTTTATTTTCAATCAACTTTTACAATACCGATATTGAAAAATTTATTCATAGCTCCCTCCTGTATGTTACATGTATGTGTGTGATATGCGAATGTTGAGGAGAATTTTGCCCAGATGACAAAAGAAAACGTTTTCACTAATCACTTTCAATGAGCTAGGTGGTGCCTACCTGATTTTAGTTACAATCAATTACTCAGAGTAGCGAGATTGAAAACAATATTTGCCGCTCCCTATTGCAAAAGGATTGGTTGTAAAAAGGTCAGGATGCCAAATTAAACAATATCTTGATCAGAAGTATATTACGCACAATTACTCTGCGATCGACATTTACCTATGGCTTATTCTCCTCCATCTTAAAGTAAAGATGAGTATCCATTGATGACATTTATGCGTTATCTTACATGGTAAACAACTGTGCGTTAAGCCGTAAATTTATAAGCTAATATCAACCATTAATAACCAGTTTAACCTTTTCTTATCAAATAAACGCTAATTATAAAAAAACAGATTGAACAGTTTATAATTCCATATAAACTCATAGTATTAGGACGACCTTAAATAAATTCATATGACATTTTCAGTCTAACTTTATCTTGAATGCAAAATTGTTCCGTCAGCCCGGCCAGAACTGTGGAATACTTTTTGAGTTAGAGAAGTCTAAAATGAAATGAAAT